CAGAAGAAAATAGTACAACCAGAGAGGAACCGCCCCCCCAGGAGGCGGGGCAAAGAGAGCGCAAACGCCCTGAGGCCTCAGGGCTGGCCATGCCCAAACTGCACGTGGGAGGAAGGCCGCCAGGCCCGCAATGCAGACTCCTGGGCCCTCCCATTCACCGGAGGATGAGACAGGAGGATCGACATTTTTGGCCAGCCCAGCAGGTGCTGCCTTGGGAATGCCCTGTGTTCTGCCACCAACCCTACTCCCCTCCTGCCACGGGAAGAGCAGGCTTACTGGTCAGCCTGGGTGCTCAGCATCTGCAAAGCCAAGCCCGAAGCCCCTCCTGGCCTGCCCGGCCCCTGCCTCAACCCCAACGGGACCAGAAGCAACTCCACCTTCTGTGAAACATTAGCATCCTCCACTCGACTGACTCATGAGGGTACTGGGAGATGAGAATGTAGTGGAGGACGTGGCTGAAAAGTTATGCCTTCTAAGTATAGTTCCTAGGTCCTGGGGCCAAAGAAAGAGCAAGGTCAGCGTGGCCAAACCCAGCCACCCCACCTCAGCGCTCCAGGACCAAAGGGAGAAATGGGCAAGATACCCTTGCATCACTTGATGTGTAAATACAAACTAATACAATCGGATATCTCCCCCTGTGCACTGCACCCCAATTCTTATCTACGTCCCAGCAAGAACAGGGTGCCTGATAAAGAATAAAATCATTCAGTCCAGGTGGAAGGGAGGGAGGGAGAGAGGGGCTGAGGGTGGAGTTCAAGGGTGCATGTGAAGTCAAGACGAAGTCAGGACTCAAGACGCTGGAGGGGGTAGGGTCTTACCTGGTGCCTCTGATAAGCTGAAAACATTTTTTCAAAGTCCTCTAGGTCCAGAATCCGAAATACCTGCATGTCATCAATCTCATTCCATACGGTGCCAGGGACACGTTCCTAAGATGCAGGGAAGGGAGGAGACCCCATGGTTGACCCAACTCCTTCATTATGGAGACGTCGACGCGTCCCTACCCCACCTGTGTCCCAGCTGCGCGGACGCCAGCAGCCAGGCTCTCGGGTCTTCAGAAAGGGGTTGATTCCTCCCCGCTAACCTCCACCCGTCTCCTCAATACCCTGCCCCAGGGTAGAGGCCAGAGATAACCTCCCTCTCCTCCCCTTCGCACAGGGCCGCACGTAAGCATGTTCCAGAGACCAGCTGGAGTGGTGGGCGGGCGAGTATGCAAGGGGGCATGAAACCCCTTCCAGAAAAAACTAACCAACCCAGTGTTCTCAGAGCGCGTTCCCTGAAGGCCGGGGTTGGCTGGAATCACGGGGAGAAGGGTGCCCACACAGACTTGGGACCCTCAAATCCTCGGTGCTGACTGTATTTCCTGTATCTGGTCATTTTCACTCCCAGGGGTCTTCCTCTCATGTTCCCAGATTCCCAGAAATTGGACAAATGCCAAAGGCTGGGATATCCTGGCCCTTTTGTTGGGTGCCCAAGCCAGCAAGACTCTGCTGCAAGTGCCCTCTGGTCAGGCAGGGAAGGGCCCGCATACCTCCTGATGGGAATGGGCCCAGGGGTTACGTTCCCAGGTCTCTCAGCAGAGGCACTGCCTGCCTCTGTGCAGGACCCCTGCTCTGAAGCCCCCCACCCCCGACCAGGGATCTGGGGAAGAGCTCTTAGCCACGCCCTAGTGGTCCTGTAACACCCCAGTAACAGCTTAGAAGGCCGAGAGGAGAGTCCCCCTCCCAGGAATCCTCACCTCATCCGAGTTTTGCTGTCCTTTAAAATGGAACCTCCCACCTCCCTCTGCCTCCTCGGCCCTCCAGGTCCCCCTCCACACGGCTTGGAGAGAGAAGCATACCTTTCGCTCACTTCTGTTTTCTTAAACTCTGGAAAGGGGAGGCTAGGCCAGAGCAGGGGGGTGGGGACATTCCTGCGGCCTTCCTCAGGCCAGGGACCCTCTTGTGGAATGCCGGGCTGGGAAGCTCTGAGCAGCAAGGGATACAGGCAATTGGCCAAGCCCAACACAGACGCATTCTTTTCATGGCAGAAACAACCCCTGTGTGTGCGCACACGTGTGTGCACAGGAGCACGCGTGGGGTAAGGGAGGGGACCAGGGAGAGGAGCCCAGCTCCTGGAAGGGGTACGTGGGAGGCAGAGAGAAGATGGGAAGGGGAATTTAATTGGGGAAGGCCCAGGAGGGCCACCTTGACTCATCTGCCACCTGAATTCAGGCCTGGGGTGGGCGGCAGGGGTGGGGGAGGCCCAGAGGTGAAGCTTCCCTCTGCTCTTATTCTTGGTGGCGCTGGAAGCACAGAGCTGACGGTCAACATGGGGAAGAGCTTCCCATGAGGACGGACGGAGGAGCCAGGCTCCCCTGACTGCTTCCCAAATTCTCCCTCCCCAACGTGTGTTCGCCAGGAGGACTTGGGACTCTTCATGGGGGGGGGGCAGCTGAGGTCTGGAGCCCGAGAGCAGCACGTCATTCCTCGTCCCCATCACGTCCTAACCGTCACCAAGTCACCTGATGCGCCCGCCCCTCGTACAATTATTCTCGAATTTAATTTTTACATCACTCTGGCCAAGACTCCGCCACTCTCAGTGTGGATTCCTGGGGCTTCTGCTCCCCTAGAGACAAACTTCACAGGCCAGGGAAATCTTTCTCAAAAACATGTCATTATGTTTCCCTCCTCGAGCATTTGGGGTCAGATTGAGGTCCCCCCTGGCCCGGTCACTAAGGGGGGCTGGGGGCCAGTGGAGGGGTACACTTCTCTCCCCTCATCTCATGAAAGGAAACCAAGTCTCAGTCATGCTTCCCAGACTGAGTTGAAGTTAGGATGAAGTGAGCTAATGTACTGGGAGCACACAGGGCGGTGCCACTAATAACAACTAACCTAATATTATTGTTATTAAGGCGTTCTGTGTGTCAGTCACTGTTCCCGGTACTTTGTATGCATTAAGTCAGTCCTCACAACAATCCTTTGATGTGGCTGTGGTCATTACCCCCACTTTACAGACTGGGAAACTGAAGCCCAAAGGAGGAAATAACCTGAACTTGGCCTGGCACCTAAAACCCTGGGGCAGGGCTCACAGGCTCACAGACACGGCTCGGCGCCCGCCCCCCGCCCCCACTGTGGACAGCGCCGGCAAGCGCCCGCGCTGCGCGTCCCGTCAAGCCCGTGCTTCCCAGACTGGGAATGAGGCTTAGCCTGGCTCTGGGTCCCTGAGGGACCGATACAGGCTTTATTATCACTGGACCCCAGAGAAAATTCTAACCACAGAGTTCTTTAGAACAAAAATATTACAAAAACAGTGGGTGCCTTGTCTGTCTCCCTTAACGGTGCGTCTTAGTGGTTGAGGTGCTTCATTAACCCTTCAAGACGTGTTGAAAACCTCAGGTTCTAAGGTGTACACTCAGGAGGCAAAAAGCATTATTTCTTTTTTAACCACAATTTGAAATTATTATTCCTGATCATCAACAACGAAAATTACACAATACACAGCCTACGGCCTTCGGTTCTGTAGAGCTGTCTGCCTGCTTGTAGGCAGCTGGCCTTTCTGGCCCAGCGACCGCAGAGAAGCACCCATGGGGCACAACTATGCAATGCAGTTGTCACAAACTAACAACGTGACTTCAAAACGCTGCTAACAGGTGGCTCTACAATCTGAATAACTCAGATTAGAGATGTGATCAGAGGCCCAGGGGATAATGAATGGGCTGTATTCATGCTGCCGCCCCACTTAGATGATACAGCCAGAGGTGGGAGGAATCAGAGATTATCTTGAAGACAAGCAAACAGGTACAGACAAAATGAATGATTCTGCAGATCACAGTTAATCAGAGCCAAACCTGATTTGGTTAGAGATTAGAACCTCTCCTTCAATCCATCCCAGGATCTCCAGGTGTTTCCTTGGACACACTTCCTAATTTGCCAGATCCAAAGCTCTTTCCGGGCAACGTTATGCCTCACCTTTCATTATTATCTGTCACAACTCCCAGCAGAAAGCTTTACACAAAGCCGACCTCGCACTGACCAGCTCGCTGGTCTCCCATTAGGAGAAGGCACCTAGCACGCAGCTGACCACCTGCTTAGCAGCCCGTGTCTCCTTCCACTTAATCTACCTGTGAGCTAACTTCAGCTCACACAGACTGGTATAGTTATGAATTCCCCAAAAGTTAGTCCACTGGTCCGTACAGCAAGGTTGGAGGGCAGCCATTAGTCCCAGCTCCAAACCGTGTGAGTGCGGGTCAGGCTAACCGAAGCCAGTTCCCTTGTATCTATTTACTTCAGTGATAAAGCCACTGGTCCTCTTAAGAGAACACAGTATAGAGTCAGAGCAGGGCTTGGCTCAGGCTGGAGCTGGCCTTCAGTTACTAGGGAGTCCAACGTGACCCAGGGCTTCTCTACTCTAGGCTCATGAGAATCCAGTGCAGGAATCAATTCCCACACGTAAGCCTGGGATCCGTGATCCTTAGTGGTTAATATTCATGAGGCCTCTCACAATGAACAGTCTAGAAAAGTAGGCAGTGTAAGTACTCTTCCCTGGGAGGATGCCAAAATGGCTAAATCTTGCTACCAGTCTTCATTGCCCTTGCCCTGTTACCCTGCCATGGCCGCCTCATTTCAGTCCTTTGTACGCATTGCCCTGATCTTTACCATCCCTAGACCCTGACCCAAGATCTTTAGTTACACATTCCTCAGACCAACTCTATCCCTAACATTCTAGCCAAGCCCTTGTCTAAAAAGCACCCCTGCTTGGCCCTGTGTTACTCCAGTGAGCCTCAGCGCACACATACATCCCATTTCTAAGTGGCTTTGCCAATGTGAGCATTTCCACATGCCAAGCCACCTCCTCCCAGTGTAGACAGCCTTCCCAACAGACAGCCTGGCATCGGCAACCCCGCTTTCTGCAGCCACTTACTCCACCAAAGAAAGCACCCAAGGTGGAGATTCGCAAACAGTGGGCTGTCAGTCTGACTGCCACTGGCTGTAGGAGGATGAATCCACTGACCTCTTCCTTGTTACTCACCTCATTCAGCTTGACCCAGTTGAAGGACTTGAGTGGGTGGGAAGGCTGGGGGACACACTTCTTCCTGAGTGGGATATCACTGCTGGGGAAGGGGTCCGCGGGGAGAGGCAGGCCCATGTTGAAGCAAGGTGGGGCGCCGGGGGGAGTGGGAGGCCCCCCGGGGGGCAGGGGGGGCGGTGGCGGTGGGGGGCAGCAGGTGAATGGTAGAGGGGGCGGGGGGGGAGGCAGGTCGTGGGTTGTCATGGAGGAAGACAAGGTAAGTGGGCCCCCAGGGGGAGGTGGGGACGATACAGGTCCTGTCTGTGGAGAGACAGAGAAATCAAAAAGACAGAGCCATCAACAGGGATCCTTTCAAGCCTCCTCCCACCTGTCTTCCCCGAGGCTTACTCTCCACCTGGACTGGACCCTAGAGCCTGTTCTCACCTCTCTCATACATTTAGCCCCGTTTTCTCTCTCTGCACCCTGAACATCCAACACCCAGACACACACACAGGTCAACCACACAGACACAGACAGTGGACAAAGTCGTAGTCATCGCACAGCAGGGCTGACACAGACAGGCCTGCACAAGGGCATCCACCCAAGACGGGGAGGGGAGTCCAATCCCACCTTAGGGGAGGGTACAGCTCAGTGGTAGGGCACATGCAGAGCATGCACGAGGTCCTGGGTTTGATCCCCAGTACCTCCACTAAAGCATAAATAATTAAAAATAAATAAACCTAATTAAATAAATAAAAATAAATAAACCTGATTACCTCCTCCCACAAAAAGAAAAAAAAAGCCCCATCTGCTCTCTGCTTTTCACAGTATGTTTCCTGGGACAGTGTCACCCAGAGGAAGGGGCACTGTTTTTCTCTAATTAACACAAAGGTGTCACCCCTACAGCCTCAGGGGTCCCCTCCATCCTGGCCTGAGGACCCTCTCTCTCTTCTCCTCCATCCTGGGGTCCCTGGCCCCTCCTCACATCTGCTCGTCCCATCCTACCCCAAGGTCTCAGCTCAATTGTGTAAGCGGACAGGATGAGGCAGCGCACGTACTGAGATTTCAGTGAGCTGGGCCACCAGCTCGGCCACTTGTCCCCGAGCCTGGCGCAGCTCCTGGGACTCTCGGGCCAGCTTGTCCTTCATCTTATTCAGCGTCCGCATCATTTCTTCCTTCTCCAACGTCTTGGTCTCACATTCCCTCTCCTTCCTCTCCAGCCTGCTCACCAGCTCCGTGTGTTCTGGGGTGGGGGTGGGGCAGGGGGAGATGGGCAGAGGGGTGTGAAGGAGGAGGTGGGTCCGGGACTGGAGAGAGGATGTGAAGGAGGCGGTGGGGCTCAGGGCTGGAGAGAGGATGTGAAGGAGGCGGTGGGGCTCGGTGCTGGACAGGGGAAGGGTGTGGAGTGGGGAGCGGGTTCAGGCGGAGCCCCTCACCTTTCCGGAACTTCTCCGCCTGGTCTCGCCACTGTTTCACTTCGTTCTCGTTGATGAGCCTGGTGGGGAGTGGAGAGAGGGTTCGCTGACTGTGAACTCACAGCTTCCCAGAAGACACGTCATCTTCCTCTGCCTCACACTGGCACCCTGATCTCCAGTCTGTCCACCCATACCAAGGACTCCAGCTGTCTGTCCAGGTCCCATCCCTGACCAGTTCTCATTACATCTCTCTCTGTGGACTGAGAAAGCTGAAAGGACCTTTACAATCCAACCCCTTGTGATACAGTCGAAGCTCCTGAGACCTGAGGAGGAGACGACAGCTAACTCAAGGTAGGACCAGGACTAAATCTCAGGCTTCCCTGAGTTGTACAATGATTCACACCCCTTGGTAAAAACAGGCTTTTGCATCTGAGAGAGATGAAAGTATCACCCTTCCAGTGGTCCAGACTTCCAAGGACCACTGTGTGAGGGTAAGAGAAATCAGCCACCCCAGCAACCACAGCGAGTGTGTGGAGGGTGAAGAGGGGGGCGTCGAAATCAGAGGAAGTCCTCATTCTTGTCAAACTCTCATTGCATGGGGGTAAAATGAAACTTCTACCTAGGCACCAAGCATGGGAGAGGTGAAATTCCAAAGTGAGACCCCAGGAACCATTTCTTTTGTAAATCTGAAAGCATGGAGGAGGTAGATCCAGGACCCTTGGCCTCCGTAACCAGACCAAGGACATAAAGAGGGGACACAGCACAAGGGGGGAAATGACTGGTGACGAGATTTCTTTGGCGCAAGCCATCGCATCCTCCCCAGGGTGCCACCTCCTTCACCACCACCTAGTGAAGTGACTTCTTAGCACCTACTCAGAGTTTGACCCATGTTCCCTGACACTGGGAGGGAGGCATGGTGGGCTGGGGCCCATGGCATCCCAAGGATTTGTCAGTATGAGAGATGGTATAAAGGTTTCTCATGGGCCAGAGGTAAGCATCGCGGAGCAAGAATGAGGCTGAAGCTATTTTAAGTCCCATCCAAAAAGTTCACCTGGCAGAAAACTGGACACTTACACACAGTGTAAGTCTACGTGTATTGTACTGCCAGTTCTGGAGCTGATGGGAGGGATGGTACCCGGCAGGCCTTGGGGGAGGAAAGAAAAACCTGCATGGCCAGTGACCAGGGTTTTGTTGTGAGAGGCTCCCAGCAAGGAACTTCTGAAGATCTCAGGAATACCTGTCACGTCTTTACCCTTGTGCCAAGCCCAGAGGACAGGGAGCTGCTTTACTAAGTTATCTGATCAGGTGAGGCCTTTTCCTTTCTCCTTGCTGCCCCCACACTGCCTGTGGTGGGGGTAAGAAAATGGTTAGTTAGAGGGAAAGGTGGGTAAAAGGGGCTAGAAATGAAAAAGCTAACCATCTCTCACACACACACACACACACACACACACACCCCTTCCTGCTGCAACTTCCAATCTAGAATGTTGATTCACATCTGAGACGAGTCTTCTGCTGCCAGACTGGTGGCCGGGTTGTTGGCTGAAAATGAGCTGAGGACCCCCAATGCCCAAGCAGCAGCAAAGCTTCATTGCACCCGGGGAGGTGCCATCCTCTGGCAGAGGGAAAGCTTCCCCACTAAGCAGTGTAAATAATTAGGAGAAGGTAAAAACCAAGCTGCATTTTGATTACTTTGCTGGTTGTGCTTGTCCCACACACCAGTTAGGATTGTTACTCCACCAACACCCGGCTATTTGTGTGAATGAAAACAGCAGTGGGAACAGTTCAAAAATCATTTCTACTTGGCTTTGCAATGAATCACTGAGAGCCAATCTGTCTCCTTAAGGGCAACTGACTCAGACTTCTACTGAAAAAGTAGAAGTTTAAAATTAGAAATCAGTGTGTGAACATGAGGCCTGATTATTAACTGACATGACTTTAAACTCATTTCTCAGTGTCTCACTCTACCCAGGGTCAGCCAGAGATAAGCCAGGGACCTTAGGCTCTGACATCCTTGTCCAACAGCCTCATAATTAAATTGTCACGTTCTGTCTTCAGTGGTTGGCAAACTTTCCCTAAAGGGCCAGAGTCAGTATTTTAGATTTCATATACTATGTACAGTCTGTTGCATATTCCTGTCTGTTTTTAACAACTTTTAAAATGTAAAACCATTCTTACTCATGGACCACACAGAACAAGCTGGAGGACTGGGGTTTGCCCACAGGCCGTGGTTTGCTGACTCTTCCTCCATGTTCATATGTTTAATTCCCCCTCTATTCACCCCATGCAATGGATCGATGGCAGTTGAATTCATCTCCTATAAACCTATGCTATCCAATATGGTGGTCACCAGTCATATGTCACGTGGCTACTTGAGTTTAATTAAAATGAAATAAAATTTAAAATTCAGTTTCTTCACACTAGCCACATGTCAACTGCCTAGTAGCCACATTTGGACAGTGTGGACCTGGAACATTTCCATTATCTCAGAGAGTTTTGGACCACGTTGCTCTGGGCCCATTGGGAGGTGTCTGGGTTTGAGAGAGGGAGCTGGGGTTTCACTGGTGAGGCCCCCAAGTAGGAGAGAGACAGGGAAGAGGAAGACAGGTGATGGATGGCCCCTGCTCACATGTTGACAATGTTCTTGACGTTGAAGTTCTCCAGGGGAGCCAGGTCAGGATCCATGCCCCTCTCATCCTGGAGGACAATCTGCTGGAGGATGCGGTCCAGGAGCTGCCACTGCTGGAAGTAGCCGCCATTCCGCTTGTCTGCGGGAAAACAAGCATCATGTCTTTACTGAGCCCTGGAGTCCCCTGGGGCCCCACCGGACACTGGCCGCCAGGGCCCGGGCAGGTGAGGCGTGCTCGTCCCCTCCCCCTTGGCAAGCTCCCAGCCTGATAGGGGAGGCAATGCAGATGCTGATGAAGATTCACAAATCCAGTCACTTCCTGATGATCTGCAAGTGACCTTTTACGAATGTGTCAACCCTCCAGGCACACTTCTCGACTCCCTGAAATGCCTCCTGACTGCCTTTCTTCCCTGTTGGTACCCTGCGCATCCTATGCCTTGGGAATGCAAATTGCTTTTTACATTATCTTCAAAAAGCACATTTAAGAAAGTATATCTGCTCCAAAACATTACAGGCTGAATAATGAAGCCTCCAGGGAAATTTTTTAAAAAGAAAAGGTTTTAGGATTATCGCCACTATTGTTCTACAGAGAAAGATGAACAGAAACTAATTACAGGGATGCACTAGGAAGGGGCCAGAAGGCGCTGGCGAAGTGGTCATGGAATCCAGGCAGATTTCTTGGTGAAGGTGACTCTGAGCCATGAAGGCAAAGGCAGTGTGTGTCACAGCTGATCTCGCAGGGCCCTGCTCTCAGCCCCTCTAATTGTAGTCTGGCTGGAGATGCACTTTCTTCTCAGGTGACAGCCACCAGCTCCTCCTCTTCGTGGGTTCCTGACTGAAGTTTTTTTTTTTTTCCTACTGATCACCAAGGGAGGCCAACCAGCACAATCCTGACCTTCAAAGGCAAACCACGATGCCTACAAGGTGGAAGGTCACGTCTGCAAAGCCCCATTTTGAGGCAGAACAGAAGGACACACTCACATTGCCTGTGAAGCACCAAACACGGCAACTCATCAGAGCAGAAGTCAGGCTTCCCACGTCTTCTGTGAAGGCATTCTGGACTGAGTTTTAGAGAATTGGGAGCTTCCTGGTCCAGGTCACTGTGTCTATCTTCCTTTCCATCACCCCACTGACACATGCATTGCAAAGAGGTCTAGTTTTCCATTTATATTTCATCCAGGAAAACAGGGTAAAGGCCAGGTCACTGGCTCACAGAAGTAGAACGTGTTTTTTCTAAAGTTCTGTCCCCCAAAAGACAAAATTTCTTCATATGTAAAGATTCACTGAGCCTCCAGTTCATCCGCTGTAAATTGGAGATAATAACACACACTCAAGCCATTCTGATCTTTAGAGACTCTCTCAGTAGCCCTCCCATCACACCCTGCCCAGAGCTGGCAACAACAAATTGTAGTTGTCCCCATCACCTCGATTACCAACACTAACATCACCACTGCTAAAGAGAGTCTAAGTTGACTATTACGTCCGGCCACGCTAGTTTCCAAATATTCTATTTTGTTAAGAGCTTAAACACCAAATGGTACAGTTAAAGCTCATTTCAAATTGCATGCTGGGGTGGCTATTAGTAATTATGTACATTCAGTCACCATGCACACCTGGATCTTAAGAGCTTAGCATCTGCTCCTATAGATCCTGACATTTGGTATTTATAAAGTGAGTCAGGAACAAGGGTGTTAGGGTGGGAGCCAGCAAGGGCTAGATGGAGAAGTCGATAAAAACCATTAAAAAAAAAGCATGCTCATTCATTCCACATCTGTGCCAGTCCTCCAGGCACAAAACTTCTTTTTGGAACGCCCCCAGAAGATGGGTCACAACCCGGCCATGAGCTGACAGTCAGCTGTTTGATTTTGCAGGGCTCAAATTCTCGTTTGTTGGACTAGGATGCTGGCACTGCTCAGGGCCGAGTCCTCAGCCCCTCTGCTGGGGGACAGTGGAAGTCTGGACCCCAAGGAGGAAGGAAAGAGCAGAGGGGCCTGAGTCCTATGGCCTGGCCTCCTGGGAAGAGGTGCAGAGGGAGACCTGGTGAGACTCCCTAACTCATGGAGCTCCTGACGCCTTGTCTCAAGCTGTCCTGGGCCAGGGGCTCAGGCCGGCCAAGGGCAGCAGCCAGTGGGGAGACTCACAGGGCATCTGCAGGCAGTGATGCAGGACAGACAGCAGGCAGGGGTACGCCTCCGTGTGTTTCAGCTTCTTGTGGATCAGCTCAAACATCTGGGAAGCACTCTTGGTATCAATGTGGACCTGAGAGAGTACAGGGTGCAGTGAATGATGTGGATGACGGGGAAGGACAGCAGAGGACGAGAACAGAGGAGAGACCCTGCTTCCACCCACTGAGCCCCCTCCCCCAGGAGAGCCTTCCTTCCCCGCCTCTGGGCCAGGGAAAAAGATGAGCAGAGAAAAGGAGGAGAGAGATGTGCCAATTACATAAACCAGGGTTCCCCAACCTCAGCTCTGTGGGCATCTTGGACTGGAGAATTCTTTGTTGGGGGGCTGACCCGTCCATGGTAGGGTGTTCAGCAGCATCCTTGCCCTACATCTACCAGATGCCAGTGACATCCTCCTCAAACCAGCTGTGACAACTAAGAATCTCTCTCAACATTGCAAATGTCCTCAGAGGGAGTAAAATCACCCCTGGCTGAGAGTTCCTGACCCAAACTAAGGGAAGGAAGTAAGGGCCTAGGCAGGAGCCTGTGGCCGAGGTCCACAACCTGGGTGCAAATCCCAGACCCACTTGCCAGCTGTGTGATGGCAGGAAGCTGCTCGTCCTCACTAACATCAGTTTTCTTCTCTTTAAATTCGGGGCTTTTGTAAGACTACAAAGGGATGGTGCCTGATTCCTGAAGCACCACCCAGAATAGGTCTCCATTTGGACAGGGATTTTTTTAACACAGTATTTAAGCAGCAGGCTCTTGTAACTTCAAGGTCACCGAGGCCAACATGGAAATGATTTTGTTTGCTAAGCATGATCGGGTTAGTGATGGGGAGAGGTGACTCAGGAAAATTACTGGAAGACGGGGCAGGGAAAGTCAGCCCAGGAGAGGCATTTGAGAGAAATCATGTGTAAGAACTGCCTCTCTTTCCTTCAGGGGTTGCAGTCTCCTGCAGGCGAGATGCTCTAGGCATTGAGGCCGGCCAGGTAAGGCCCAGCAGAGCCACCCTATGGCCAGGGCTCCAGAAGCAAGACCTGGTCATGGGGGCACCCAGCAGGGAACCCAGCCAGCACTGGACCTACCACAGCACAGGACCTGGGACCCACTGCAGTCTCCTCACCATGTCAAACCTCCTGGCTAGCTCCAGGTCATCCTCATTCCGAACCATCTCGAAGAAGTCTAAATGCCTAGACAGGGTAGGGGACGGAGAGAGAAGACATTACCACCAGGCCACTCCTGGGTGAGGGTTCCAGCCCCTTCAAGCCCCCGACTCACTGAATCTGAAGACTATCTGGGTGAGGCCAAGGCAAAACCTGCCTGTACGTCAACACTCTCGTCCCACATAGAATCCCTCGGGGAGGCCAACCCAGGGTCCCGCCACCTAACAGGCCTTCGCAGCTCTGGCACTACTGACATCTGGGGCTGGGTTGTTTTGGTTGTGGGAGGCAGGTCTGTGAGTTGTAGGATAAGTAGCAGCATCTCTGGTCTCTGCCCCTCAGATGCCACCAGCACCCCCACTTTGAGATGTAACAACTGAAAATGTCTCCAGGCATTGCAAATGTCCCCCGGGGGTAAAATCACCTCGAGTCAGGGATCTCTGCCCTGCAGCTACCTTCCCCAGTGTTCTCACACAGTCCCACGTTCCCACACAAAGCCAGTCTCTCATATTCTACCCACCACCCCGACTCCACCCCCAAGTCCACTGCAAAGGATCCACCTCTGTCCCTTGAGACCCACGTAATAGAGCAGCCTGTATGAACGGGGCATAACTGGAGGCTCACTGGTGACGCACAGGAACTTAACTGTGCCCTGTGGTCAGCAAGGGCCCTGATGGCTTGCACTGTGGGCGGGGCATTTTTTTGCTGAGCAGGAGGGCGCTGCGGGGCCTTTAACATTCCTGGCTCTCTACAACCAATACTAATAGCGGCCCCACCCCAGGCCAGTTGGAAAACAAAGAACAGTCCCGCGTGTTTCCATGTTCCCCCCCCAGGGGGCAGTACAGCCATGGTGGAGGACTACTGGGTCCACCTGCCTATAACATCAGAGATGAGATGGCAGGTCAGCAGAGGACAGACACCGGCACAGGCAAGACGTGGGACAAGGGGGTGGGAGAGCTGCTTCTGAATTGGTGCTGGTTATAGCAGGTGGTCTCCAGTGGAAGGGCAGCCTCCACAAAGGTCCCAACCATCCCCCACTGAGGCACTGTCCCCACGGATTTTCAGTGCGGACGAGTGGCGTGGGACTTACTTGTCCAGGATGGCATTCTCGTGCTGCCGGAGTTTGTCAATCACAGGCTGTATCCCCAGCATCAGGAACTCGTACCGTAGATGTAGGCGGAAATCCAGATTATCCTGGGGGGCACCGAGGGAGGACCAGACTCATTGGCTCGTCTTGATTTCCACAAGAGTCCTCAGTGGACCCCTGACTGTCCCTCCACATCTCCTAGAGCAAACTCATCAGGAACTGCGTCAAGTCCCAGAGCTCCAAGAAAGCGTGAGAGGAGGCATCCTTTGACCTTGTTACTTACTCCCTTAGCTCTCTTGCCTCACTTCCTTTAAGTCCTTGACCAGTTTTCTCTTTGTCTTTGGCATCAAAGAGCAGTGTGGAAGGGTGGCATGGAGCACACGCTTTGGAATCAAACAGATCTTGGTTCAAATCCCTGCTGTCACTTACTAGTTTTGTGACTTTGCAGAAGACTTAGTTTCCTCATCAGTAAAACGGGCATGATATTATTTACTTCTTACTTACTTTTATTCATAAAAATTACCTGATGAGGTATGGTCAGCAACTAGTCAGAAATGATGTCAGCAGAAATAGCTAGAACTGGCCAAGGGGATGTCAGCATTGGAGGGACAAATAACTCCCCCAGTCCACCTCTCCTAACTCAGGACATCAGGACTGGGTGCAAAAAGAAAACAAAGAAAAAAAGGACGCTGGCAGAAAGAGGGAAAAGCAGAGATCATTAATTTGCCCTTTTGACCTTCAACAAGCAGAAGCTGACCAGGGCATCGGATTGCTTTAGAATTTGAGGAATTCACCTGTTCTTCAAGTTCTTCTTCAATTGTTGCTATTTTTACTGTCTGGGAATCCCATTCTGACCCCAAAGGAAGGAAAATCAGAAGTCACACCTCCTAACAGCAGGTTCTATAAGAGCATGACCAGCCAGCCCAGAAACCAGTCCAGAAGCAGGTCTTTAGGAAGCTCTAAAATGAAGGGCCAACATCTGCCCTCCTTCCATAAATGATCCCCACAGCCCTAAGCCACCATCGGCCAGCCAAGTGGGGGGTTGCCCATGACACACATAATGCATGATGCCACCTAGGCAGAAGTTCCCTAGAAACCCCTAGTGACAAGAAGGTTCATGACAAGCTATTCTTTCTTGGCCCTGAGCGAAGGAGGCAAGAGGTTATAAAGATGATCTGAAGACGATGTTGGCAGTGACAGCCACACAAACCAGATCCCTTGGCCCCTTCCCTCTGCCACTCCCCCAGACAGCACTCACACACTCTTCCCCAGGTCCAGAAAGTCAGGGCGCACTAAGGGCTTGGAGAAGATGCCTCACCTCTCCAGCACCAGCATTGAGGACGGCGTTGATGAAGGACATGATGGCCGTTTTCAGATTCACTTCATCCCGGTATCGGCCCAGACTTCGGTCCAGCTCATTCAGCAGTGTCTGGAGGGAAAGATGGGGCAGAAAAGGAAGAGGGGGCTCATGACCTTACAAGACCAGCCTCTCTGCCTTTGCTCCTGCCTTTCCAACTATACAGAAAGCCCCACCTGTTCTCTCTACCCACTCTATCCAACTCATCTCGGACCTTCCCTAAAGCTCACCCTTTTTAAGAAGCATCCTTTGTCTCTCCACACCTGTCTCAACCCTGCCTATTTCCCCTCCTCTTGGCCTTCAGGGCGTAGTTTATTTTGCTGGGCAGTGCTGAAATGCTGCTTCAGCACTTTACAGCTGTTTACAGCCCATAATTACAGTCAACCCTCCAAATCCGGGGGTTCTGCATGCACTAATTCAACCAACTGTGGACTGAAGCTATTCGGAAAAAAAAATTCCAGAAAGTTTCAAAGAAGCAAAACTTGAATTTGCTGTGCACCAGTAACAATTTACATAGCATTTACACTGTATTAGGTATGTTAAGTAACCTGGAAATGATTCAAAGTATACAGGAGGATGTGCATAGGTTATATGCAAATTGTACACCCTTATATGAAGGACTTGAGCATCTTTGGATCTGGGTATCCTCGGGGATCCTGAAACCAACCCCCAACAGATACGGAGGGAGGATGATATTCCCTGCCCAGCTCCTTGACAGAGTAGACAGTACCTTTTATCTCTTTTGCATCTTCTGCAGAGAGTTGGGGGTTATTTTATGCACAGAGTAGGTGCTTAGAAATGTTTGATGACAAAAGGAACAAACGGCCAGTACTGGTGGGAAAACCATAGCATTTGTCATGACAGTTCCCATCTGTTGAGACGAACTCTGTACCAAGACACTTTACACTTACTGTCTATCTCTTTGCTTTACTGGAGCAGGTCAGAGGGAAGAAAAGAGAATAGCATGGCCTGAGCTCCCAGGACTGGCCCCAGTGTCCCCATCATAGGCACTGGCCCAGGCATAGGGCCTAAAATCTTGATCCCAGCCATTGTGTTCAACTCAACCATCCGTGATGGAGCCCCGGTATGAGCCAGGCACTTGGCTCGGAGATGCAGAGCCACAGAAATGAAGCAGATCAATATCTAGCCTTAAAGAACCTATGGTCTAGTGAGGAGCCCACTTTCTCAGCCAAACCCCATCTCTTAAAGGCCCCCGACGTCTTTTTATATGAGCCCTCCGCCAGGCTGCTCACCTGGAAGCGCGTGCGCTCTGCTGCGTACACCTGGTAGTGTAGCATGGCCTGCAGCACCTTCTTGTGGCCGCCGGGCACCAGGCACACAGCGCCCAGAATTTCCAGCACGGCCACCTTGGTCTTGCTGTTCTCTGTGCGCAGGCTCTGTGCGATGGTGCTGATGGCCTCAGGTTGCGCCAGCACATGCGCCCGCCCCTGGGAGTTGTTCATCAGAGCCTTGATGCAGCCGATGAGGGAGGTGTGGATGCGGCTTTCGCAGGTGGCGTGGTCCATGCTCCGGAGGAAATTCAGCAGACAGGTCAAGCCCTCCAGCTCGATGAAGCGGGTCACAAACCTGTCCAGACCAGAGCCATTAACAAAACAGGTATCCTACATTTGAATGTTATTCTGCACACATTTTGCAAATAGTCACCCCCTTACCTGGGTACCACCGTGTCCCACCTACAGTAGCCACTTGGTTCATTTATAAAGTTTATCTAAAGCACTAAAATCCTCTCACCCTCATAGGAGACTCATATCTTATTTGCATTTTAAATACCACGCTTTTGCATGTCATTGACTGTCAGTTACACAGCAATGAAGGTGTATCTGTAAAAGGGTTGATCGTCATAGTTATTAGGATAATTATCACGACTGTTAAACCCAAAGGCTTCTCACCAGTGAGGATGGGAATTAAGAGAATTACAGTCAGACAACAAGGAGGACTTCCACACAGGGAGGCCATGAGAGTCAAGGGATTAAGGCTGGGGAAGGTGATCTTCAAGGGGTCCTTAAGAAAACATCTGAGTTATCTTGAATGTTAGCAGAAAACATTAAAAAACCATTAGAGTTTAGGGGGTTCTTAACCGGGAATCTGTATTCCTGTAAGGGGTCTATTACTAACATTCAGGGGTCTGTGAACTTGGATGGGAAAAGAAAATTACACTTTTATTTTTGGTAACCTCTAACTGAAATTTAGGCAATAATCTATAGTGGCATGAGAAGAATCTGGGACTTTGTCATCCAGAAAAATCACAGCTATTTTCATCTCAAATTATGGTTGTTGCAGGTATCTGAAAATATCATTTCCACTTATCAGCACTTCAAAATTACGGTGGTTGTTAGTATTTGCTATTTGAGGCATAAAGAAGTACACTGACTGCTATCTCACAAATGTTTAATATTTAGTAACTGTATTTCAACTTAATTGGTTTATTTTTTAATCTTATCTATTTCTATTTTATTATTTAAAGACATCATTCTGATAAGTGGTCAGTAGGTTTCATCTGGGTGCCAAAATCATTCATGGTGTGCACACACAAACATATCCACACACACAAAGGCTTAAAACCCTTGATTTAGCAGAACAATAATTAATATGACCTGAGGAAATATCATAAATGAAGCTGAGGGAAACACTACTTATAATTACTACATTTGATCCTACGTACATTTGTGTATATTTCTTTATGATTACACAAATATGTCTAGAAAAATAGAATATACTCTAAAATTAAGTTGTTAAAAACAAATATTATTTACTTTTTCCTACTGATACAGTTTTAGGTATGCCAAAAAATTTTCCACCATGACTGTAACTTCTGCCATCAGAATTTTATTAAGGGAAAGAAAAATAAATTGAAGTGGGAGATGAACCTGGCAACCTCCCCTCAATCCTTCTACTTCCTCATTTCCTCATCCTTCCTGTATCCCCTTCCCGTACCAGACCCCCTCCCCAACCTGAGCAACAGGCAGGATTGGGGGTAGGGGGCTCCCAATCTCCTTGAGGCTTTGTTTCCAAGCTCCGGGCAGAAAGCTCAGCCCATCTCTCCCTCTCCCTCCCTCACACACACACATACACACACCCCAGAGGCAGACAAGTGTGCTTGTAAACCTTGACAACTGGCTCTCTGGAGAAAGAAAAGAAAAAGACCTGATTGTGGTGTTTGCCAATTTCCATGTTAAAAATACTCCCAGCATAGCTGACTTCAAGCTATCAGTGTGATGTCATTGAACATGGAGCTGGAAATGCTGCACCATTTATATACTTCCACCATGCACATACAGTGGGTGTAAACTCAAGGAGCATACTTAACAGTAAAGAGTATACACAACAGTAAAATATAGTCACAGCATTGGGTAATTAAGGATTGGTAAGTTTCAAGTACTTACTACCTTTGTTTTTGATACCATTTGTTTATCATGAGTTTCTGTCATTTACATTTTCATCACATCTATGTTTAACAACCAGCTTGCAAAACAGCTGAAAATTTAACAATTGGCTCCCACAAGCCAGAACGAGCCAGTTGTGAGACACAAGAGGAACCTGTAGCTCTTGGCCCTCTTGGACCCTTACACCGTGCAGCCTGGGAAGCTGCGAGAGGCCCCTTTCAGCCTCTGAGACATCACTCTCTCTTCCTTGCCTGCATAGCTCCAAGTCTAGGTGAGGAAATCTCATCCACAGACACTACACCGCCCCCTAGTGGTTGGAGTATTTCTCACCTACACTCATCTAGGGCTGAACCCCTCATTCTCAGAGCACTTTCTTACATACCTGTCCTTAGGCCCAGCCTCCCTCCTGCTATGTTTTCCCATAAAACAAGCACTTGCCTTCGATTTCTCTTCAGATAGCCCTTCAGGACCTGAGGCTTATTCCATTTTCTTGTGTTCATCTCCCCCTCCACCAGCACACCCAACCTGGGGCTGTCTCAGCTCCTCAGAGGGAGTAGGGTGGCAGCCAGGATGTGAAGCTGAGTCAAGTCCACCCTAGAGGACGCTGGAGGGTGAACTTGGCCGAGGGTACTGGGATCGGAGCAGAGTACTGAGTGCAGATTCAGGAAGTGGGTACAGGGACAGGGGCGGAAGTGAGGAAGGGGGTGCAGTGAGTCACCTCATGGGCTGTGTGCGGAGGGCAGTCTTCAGGTCTTCCACGATTTGGTTCCTCATCTCCGTCTCTTCCTCATCAAATGCATACAGACTCTGCATCTGCGGTCAGGAGGAGGGGGCAGAGGTCACGCTGGGCTGCCAGTCTCCCGGCTCCCTGCACCCCCAGCCTGGGTGTGACCCAGGGGTCAGCCTCGTCTCAGGAACCAGTTACAAAGACAGAGTGCCAGCCTCTGAGAATACCCAGGTTCCAGTCCCAGACTTCACTGTTCTCATCTGTAAAATGGGAAGAGGGGTCAGCCCAGCCTATTTCCTAAGCCTATGTGAATCACACATGGTTAATAAATGTTAGAAAGGTTCTGGGGACTCTAAAGTCATGCAAGGGAGGGAGGGATCATGATAAAATCTGGAGAATAACTGAGCAGGGCGTGAGGTGTAGGGAAAGAAGAGAGGAACAACCCCCCTCCCCAAAAGCCTCTCCAAGCATAGCCGGGGCAGGAGGGGCACGAGGCTCACCGCAGCCATGGAGTTGATGCGGTCGATGTAATAGTCAGGCCAGCTGGTCGCCAGCTTGTTGGGGTCCTCCTGCTCCTGGAATGAGAGGAAGGGCTGTATGAATCACCTGGTAAGACAGGCCCATGGTCTGGGATCCCCAGCTCCATTCCACGTCAGCAGGTAGATCCATCTCCCAGCCCGGCCTAGACTGATGACTCTGAGGAAGTTATAAAATCTCCCCAGGCTTCCATTTCTTCCTTGGCAACATGCAAATCACAGACATCAAATCTCAGGACCCGCCAACACATGGGCCCAATCCACGCAGGTATATACACTTTCAATGAACAATATATACAACTAAAAATAAATTCTTTTTCCTTGGTTATATCCGTTCTGAGGCTATTTAATAAAATATAATTTTATGTCTGTTGAATCTAATGAAAATATGTGCTTATATTTTGTACATCTGTTTTTTCCAATTTTATTTTTCTGATAATATCATTCTCATTGCATTTGACACAAGGACTGGTCTGTGACAGTCTTGGAAATTGAAAACCTTGGTTTTTCCTTCAGATAGTTTGAGAGGCACTAATAGAAAGCAACCAGTGCCGTGCCTGGCAAAGAGGAGGTGCTCAACAGATAAGAACTTTACAGAAGAGGGAAAGAGACACTGCCAAGGCCCTGGGTTTTGGAAAGACTAAGGAGGCGTCTGTGCAGGTGGGAGGCAGAGCCCAGATGAGAGGCCTCTGGCCCGGCCCTCGAGGCAGGAATGATGGGAGTCGGATAGGCATTAATGCTGATTGAACACCCAGCCTTCTCCCCCAGCCAATGGATCTGCCTCTGGGAGTTACACATACCCTGCTCCTTCCTGTCCCTGTCTCCCTCCCATGTGGATGTTCCCCTCATCCACCTTCTGACACTTTCCTGCTTTCAAATTGGCAAGAAAATGTACCTCCTCCAGAACCTTCCTGATGGTCCGCCTGCCTGTCACCCGGCCTGGACTTTGCCCTTCCTCCCTCAGCTCTGTCCACTCCGGCTGCACAATTTTGTTTCATAACATCCAAATTTTAGATCAGTGAGAAACCTGCCTGGACTTGGTTTTTGTGACTTCATGTGGCTATCTGTGCTAAATCTCCCTGACTGAGGCCCCCATGCTCTAGCTTCTGCCTGAGAGAGGGGATCACAAAACAGAAACAAAGGGTTCATGAAACACACACTTCCCTGCCTTCACTGGCTCACCATTCAGCCATTTCGTATGCATTTAATGAGCACCTACTATGTGTGAACCACTGTACGCTGCCCTGAAAGTACTGAACAAAAAATCACTGTCTCTGCCTTTCATGAAATAATTCAGTGCCAGAGGCAGAGTGATCAGCACTCTGTGGCAGCAGGACTGTCCACAGTGGACCACAGGAACGCAGGGTGGGGGGCATCTAATGCAGAAGGCTCATGGCGGGGAAGGGGTGGGAGGGTATGAGAAGACTGGGCTGAACTATTAAAGATTACTGAAGCTGAGACAGGTGGGTGTCACAGACAGAGGAAGTACCAAGGGAAAGAGAGAGGGTGTGTAATTGTGGGGGGAGATGACAACAATTTAGTTTGGCAAGTAGAGAGGGATGGCCCCATATTTTAATAAATTTTTTGTTTTATCTGTATAAGACATCAACTTTGGGGACCTCCAGAGTAAGTCGATTTGGAAATTGGAGTATCATGAGATACAATAAATTACTCCTGAAATTAATTTTCTCCTCTCTCCCTCCCTTTCTTCCATGACTCGAGCTTTTTGAAGGCTTGCTTTCCTCACAGTGAGACTCCTGGACACAGAGCATAATATTCTTCAGGTGCTTAATAAATGTGCATTGAGTATACTAGACAATGGCTTGCAGTGTGTGCAGCCCATGCATCTCACAACAGGGTCTCAGACTGCGTTCCAGCACCGGAGCAGCCACGGGCTGTGACCATGACTGGCTGGTGATTCTAGGTGAGTCCGTTGCCTCCCTATGCTTTCCCTGCCTCCTCTGTAGATTAAAACACAAGACTGAATTGCTTCTCAGTTCCTTCCAACTCTAGAAGAGTGCATGATTCTAAACCTCCAATTTTATAAGGTCAGTTTGGCTCAGTATGGAGCCTGGAATGGAACAAATATCCTGAACAATAAGGCTTTCTGAACAAAGGAGCCAGGAATGGGCTTTAGGGAGCATGAAGGAGAAGCAGCCCCAAACTGCCCTAGACCTGCCTGTCCTCTCCCAGGAGGGAGAATGCTGAGCCTCAGGTGCAGGAAGACCCTAACTCTCCAACACCCGCACCCTGAAGTTAAGGAACAAGCTGCAAGTCCAAAAAAGGGGAGAGTGATGGAGGAGGAGGAAGGCAGGCCAAGAAAAGAAAAGCAGTGAGAGATAGATGGGCTAAAATAGAAGGGAGGCAAGGGAGATGCAGAGAGAAAGAGATGGACGGAAGAGACACAGAGATGGAGGAAGAGAGAAGAAAGCACAGCCGCTGGGAAAGCCAAGGGGAGGAGACAAAATTCAATTAAGCCCTGATTGCAGCCCGGCTCACCCTGCTAGGGAGACCACAGTCAGGAGACTGACATCTTTTAATGAAGGAGAGGAGGAGAGGGAGGAAGTGTGGAGAGACCGGAGACTAATGTGTGACCCTGACGTGCATGCTGCCTGGTGACAGGGACACAGCCTGGGACAGGGCGGGGGCTAAAGATCCATTAGAGATCACTCACTTCCCCCAGACTGAGTCCTGACCACAGAGCTGCCCCCAGGTGTGGCCCAGGGCAGCACCCCCTCCTGGGGAGGGACTCTAGGTTTGTCATCTTACAGGTCCCTGACCCAGCACCACTCCTGGAACCCAGTGAGTACCTGCTTATGGGATTTTTGAAAAACAGAACTCTATTTCCTTGAGCGTAAGCTGCATGAGTGCAGGGATTACTCCTGTCCTGATTTAGTCATTGTCATTCCTCCAGCATCTAAAACAGTGTCCGCGTATAATGAACACGTGTTAAGTGAGAGAGTGAGCATGGAGGCTGTGGGCCCCCGATGGCAGCGAAAGGGGTCAGAGAAGGCACCTTCTTCTTGCTGCAGTAGATCTGCCACTTCTTCTCAGGGGGCAGTGCAAACACAGCCTCCCGGTTTTTGTCAGTGAGATCCAGTTCATCCTGCAAAGACAACAAGAAATATGTCTGAGACCCTGAGATGGTTGACATTAGAATATTCAGCCCTACAGGAAACTGCAACTCCTTCAATTTCCCTCAAATCCCTCAGCCTGCATCCTCCAAAGAGTATCTAAGATATGATAGGGCAATTCTTTGTCTAGAAATACAGCCCCAGCCTCCCATCCCCTCGCATCCATCCACCCAAGCCCCTGCTGCCCCAACTCAGGCTGCCATCACTTCCTGTCCTCACCCCCGGCCAGTCCTACCCCGGGCACCCTGTTCCCTGCCCATCTCCTGCATTGCTTTGCTAGCTCTTAATCCTCTTGCCCCGAGTTTCTTGCCTTCTTTCCCTTGTCCTTCTTAAGCTGTCAACATCATGAATCAAAGTCCAACAAAGGAAGAAATTAGTCTCCACATCCAGTCTCTGCCCCCATCCTTCAAGTCTCCATGTCCTTGGAGACTTTCCCCCTAGAAATTCCCTGGTTCCCCCAATCTCAGCATGGGTCCCAGCTTGGAGGAGGAGAGCTAGTGAGGACAAGGATCTGGGCAACTCTCCTGGAAAGGAGGGAGGTGTTGGTCTGCTTCCCACGGAGGGATGCTTGCCAGGGGCAGCCCTCCAGCCGCACCACCACCAGGAGAAGGCTGTGCGCACACAAGGCTGGGCTCCACCGGGCTAGTCCACACTTTCCAAAGAGTAGACATGGGAAGTTTCTGATGTCATCAAACCTAGGGTGACTCTCTAGGCAGCTTGGGATGATTTTATAGGTTTGGCTGTGCTGAATGGCCCCTGAAAAGCTCTCTTATTGAAAATTCTTCTCCTGTGATTCATGATCCATGCCAGAGCTCATCAAAAAAAAAAAATAGTTAATGAGCCATGGAACATAGCATGCTTTTCAACTTAATTCTTGTAAGGTTGTTTTTCTTTTTTTTTAAATAAAAGCAAAACATATTAAGGCATAAAAAGCATAATATTACACAATCTTTATATTTTCTAAAAAGATAATGAGATTAATATCTAAGAAAGCCTAAGGGTCTTAAATATCAACATTCTTTGCCCTTTTATTCAATGAGAACGTTTTAGACTTTTCTTCACATAGATCAGAATGGTCCAATAGAAATATAAGGTGAGCCACACATATTTTAAACATTTTCCGGTCACATTAAAAATTAAGGAGAAATAGTTGAACTTAATTTTAAGTCAACACTGTAACCCCAAATATCTAAAATATAGTCATTTAACATATAATCAATGTAAAAAATAATCAATGAGATATTTTACATTCCTTTTTTCAAACTAAGTCACCAAAATCTGGTGTGGATGTCCCCTTATAACTCGTCAAAGTGCAGACCAGCCACATCTCAAGTGTCAGCAGCCCCACATGACCGGTGGCTGTCATCTTGGACAGCACAAAGAGAATCTGAAACCATGCCCATCAGTTCACCTGCTTTGGAACCAGACTCCTGCAGCTCTAATGCTAACAAAGGGCTCTTCCCTAGACCCACTCTCTCCATAACCCAGGGATGTCCTTAGTCAAGATTCCCAGACCCTGCTTGAGGTTTCTGAAGCATTTCAGAATCAGAAATGAAAGAAGGTAGTAAGTGCACCTGACACGTCCCAGCAGAAACTGCATCTTTTCTACTTTCGTTTACATAGTTAGCTCCACCCAGCCTGCCCTCCTGGCCCATCCACCCCGTGGACCCTGATCTAATTTCCCAGGCTCACAGTTGGCTTCCTCCCACAAGCCTTCCACAGCCCTTCCCAGGTAAGAATACCTCTCCCTTCCTCAACTCCAGAGCAGTTATATTCAACCTCAAATTCTGGTTATCTGTGCACTTGTCTTTTCTTGCCGTGGCTCTGTCACTAAATCGATGGACATTTCTTGGTGATTTGGTTCAGTCCAGGTAGCCGAAGACCCTTATTGAGTCTCCCTTCCGGGTTTCCTGGACGACCACACTTGGGTAGTCCCTCTTGGGCTCCCTGGACTGTTCCTCCTTTCCCCTGCCATCAAATGTTGAAGTCCCTCAGGCCACCATCCTGGGTCCTCTTCTCTCCTCCCCCTCTGCTTTCCCAGATGAATCCTTCTCTGCCATCTTCAAGGACTCAGTGATTATCCTAACCTCTCTCAAACCTGTACCTCCAGCCCACCAGTTTCCTGGGACCCAGCTGCCTCGTGTACCTATCAACTTTGACGACCCTCAGGTACCTCACACATTTATATAGTGTCACTATGTGCCAGGCACTGTTCTAAGCACTTAAAGTGTACTCACTAAACTTGCAACAACCCATTTTACAGATGATGAAACTGATGCACAGAGGAAAACATGCAGGCTGAGTTCATCATCCCAATCCCCTAAGCCTGGGTCTCCTCTGGCATATCCTGTCCTATACACGACCCCAACCACCATCCTTCGTCTTGTCAGAAACCTGGTGTCCCTTAATCCTACTCACCCATCTATCCCATCAAGTCTTATTCTCTTCCCTCCTGAATAGCTCTTGAACCTGTCTACTCTTCCCCATCCTCACTGCTAACGTTTTGGTCCAAGTCCATTCTCCCTAGCTTGGATTGCACCAAGCACCTCCTAATGGTCCACACAGTACTCTTCTCTGACAGACTACCCAGAGTGGTCCTTTGGAAAGTAGATCGGATCATCTCAAACGCCTTCTCAACCCCTTCAGTGGCTTTCTAGGACCCTTAGGATTGAATCTAAAATCCTCAGTTATTCTCCTTGTAACGGTGTCCCCACAAAGGACCCCACTCTTTTCTGACTTGAGACTCCCACATATGCTGCCTCTTCCGAGGGGGGCTCTATGTCATTATCTGCACCTCCATTCATTTACTCAACCATCACTTTGCTTTTAGATCTCAGTGGAACCATCACTGCTTCAGGGGAGTCATCATGACCCCCAGTATAGAATAAAGGTCCCGCTAGACACTCCCATGGGCCCCCCAAACATTCCCTTTCCACTCAGCCCACCTGTCACTACTGTTCAAGATCAGTCTTCCCTGTTAGACTTCGTGTTCCTGGGGGCAGGGACTGTGCCTGTCGGTTCATCTCTAAATCCCTGGCAGCCCCACAGGGCCCAGCATGGAGCAGTCTCTGAAAAAATGCTTTCCATTTGTTTGATCAATATCCCACGCTAGTCTCCTTGCAGACATTACTTGTCTGAGTCATCCTTGCTTTTGCCAAAGTACCTTATGTTAAAAAAAATAACAAAACAAAACCCTGCCCACTTAAAAGGCTCAATAAATACCTGTTGACTAAAAATGCCAAAGAAGGAACACCCCATAGCATCTCCTTCTTTCAAAACTCATGCACTCCATTCAAGATGTCCCCGCCCATGATAATGTAAGAAATATATTTTTGATCCTCATTCCACGTTCCTAGCATAGAGATCCTAAATCCCTTGGAATTTCACGACTGGCAGAAGTGACAGGGGTACCTTTTGTCCCTGACACAGAACTCCTAAATCTCTTGGAATTTCCTGGGTGTTGGGAGCCTTTTTTCTTCCAGTGAAGTGACTCTCAGTGGACCCAGAGAGTTTCAAGCTGGGGCTGGTGGCCAGAAGGCTCAAGATTTGATTAGAAGCCTAGACCTTTTGGCCCCACTTCCCAAACTCTGGGGAGAGAAGAGGGGCTGGAGACTGAGTTAAAAATCTGTCATGCTGAAATTTCCATAAAACCCCCTATAGGGCAAGACTCAGAGAGCTTCTGGGAGGCTGAATGTACTCAGGTGCTGGGAGCGGGGCGCCCCCCAGACTCCAAAGGGACAGACACTCTCATGCTCGGGACAGCAACCTTCCCCTCCTTCCCCTTCTGGGCCTCCCCTGTGCACACCCTCCTCTAACCATTCACTTGTACTCTTCATAATATCTTTTATAACAAATCGGTAACAGTAAATAAAGTGTTCCCTGAGTTCTGTGAGCTCTTATCAAGCCTGAAGAGGGGATGGCGGGAGCCCCCGCTTTGCAGCCACGTCAGACAGAAGCGGTGGTGCCGTGGGCCCCCTGCTGGCGCCCGGTGTCTGAGGTGGGGGCAGTCTGTGGAGCCGAGCCCTGAACCTGTGGCATCTATGCTGACTCTGGGTAGTAACTGTCAGAACCAAGTTAAATCGCAGGACACCCAGTTGGTGTCCACAGAAAAGTGGAGAACTGCTTGGTGTGGAAAACCCACCTACGTGGTGTCAGCAGTATTCTGAGTCAAAAACAGATCTTAGCAGTACTGACTGACACAGATCAGGCTCCAAATGCTGCTAGACACTAGCGAACACTCTGTTCCCGCCCACTCCGACCCCACCCAGAGGAAAGGTATACACCAGGACAACGAGTCTTCTGGACCTGATGTAATGAGGAGGGTGGAAACTTTTTCACGTAACATGCATGTCCTCATCTTACTGCGGTCCTGCTACTTAAAGAGCTAGATCACCTTCCTCAGATGCATCCATTACCGAATTCAAGCATGAAACCCCGTTTCCCAGTCACACTGCACTGTTTCTCTATGGGTCAACCATGAGAACGAGTGACCGGGAGCTCATGGTAGCTGACCTGGTGCTTCTCGTTCTGTGGCCCGGGGTTCAGGCCCAAGTCCTGGGCATGGGGCCTGCCTCCCTGGTCTGGGACCTTTCTCTGGCTTGCAGGCTTTATCTCACCATCAGATCTCCAAAGAGAGGAGCCATGCTTCTTTCCTGTTCTGTCTCTTTGCGGTCAGCACATGATGTTTCACACACAGGGGTCCCCACGGGGGCATAGCACTGCTGCTGTGGCCCAGACGGGGATCACAGAGTCAGGAAGAGTTGGCACCAGGGTGAAAAACAGAGCTTCTGTCTGTCCCAGGCCAGACATGGGATGTCTTCATCCCAGACCGGAACCAGGTTCCAGGTGTGATACAGGCATCTCTACCTCCTCACTCCTAGCCAATCACTCCTTGTTCTGAGATAACCCAGCATCTGCCCACAGAATCTGCCCCGTCTCCTCTTCCTGTGTCAGAGACCAGACTATCCCAGGGAATTCCAGTGAGCAGAGGTGGTGTCCAGGGCTCTGATGTTCTTTGAGGCTCCTCCCTACCTTATTTCACAAAAGCTTGGATCTTCTCCTCCCGTGGGTGCCTACTGCTGCCCCATGAAATCTAGAATCCAGGGGAGATGACGTAGGTCTATTCTTCTGGGGACACATTTCAGTGTCCACCCCAGTGAGTGACTCTGTTTCTCCCACACGCCTGAAGTATCCTCGGGGCCCACTTTGGTCCCAAGCAGTTTCAGTAGGTGAAGATGCCAGCCCCCGCCCTCTGGGCTCCAGCCATCTCCGATCCCACCGTCAACACCCTCCCTTCCCTGACCCTCACTCACCACCAGTTCTGCAAAGCAGACGTTGAGCTCCTCCGGGTTCGGGATAGGACTGGAGAACTCCATGTACTGCAGAGGGTGGCTGTCCCGGAGGTTGATCTCAGGGAGGTCGCTGCCCCCAAAGCAGCACAGGAAGCCCAGGCCATGGCGGCTCCTCTTGCGGGGGGCCATGGTCACCACAGGCCAGGGGGACAGTCTGCAGGCAGGTGCCCTAGGTCCTCATCATGATCTGGGTGGAACAGAGAGCACTGCGTGATCAGGCTGGCAGCCAGGTAGAAAGGGATGTGGTCACTCTGCCACCAGAACTTCTTTGCCCAACTGTCAAGAGCCCTCAGCTCAAGAGCCAAGCCCCTGCTCTTCTCCCCCAGCCTCACTCTGTTCCCTCTAGCTCCTCCTACCTGGAGGTATTTCCCCCTCTCCACGTCCTCCCACAGTTTCCTGCCACAAACACTTTCAGATTCTCCCCCTGTGCTCTGGGAGACAAGAGAAGGGCTGTACTCACAGAATTTGACTCCTGGGAGGTCAGAGCCGGCACCCATCCTACCCTCTCTGTGACAGTACAGATGCAAATCCTAGTCCCTGTCCCCTGGAAGACCTGTCCAGCAGGACCTCCTTACTTACTTGATTCATTCAGGGTCTGGGGATACCTGGTTTAAAGATGTCATCCAATGGGGAGGGAAAGGTTGAAGGAGGCTGGCGGGGAGACACCGAGCTAATTATACTGTGTGTCTCCTGCAGTGGGTGCCCCCCAGGAGTAGAGGATGGAAGGCTTGCCAGTTTCCTGTCCAGTCCACTGTACCCAGGAATGTTTGGATGCATGTGAGACTTCAACAGGCACAGGTTCACCCACCCATCGAGAAGGAGGGGCAACCTGGGAGCCACGAGAGTGAACCCTGGGTAAGGAAATGGGGCTGATCATTGGATTGGTGTTCAACCAAGACAGACAGAAATCTGGTCAAATCTGCTTTCCATACCGACCAAGAACAAAGGACACCATTATGACCAGAACTGAGAGGCACCCAAGAGCTGGGTGGTCACTGGAACAGAAAGGGTTAAGTCTCTGGCTTGCCATGGAGAGGGCCTGGTTCACTGGCACCAGTGTGAGGAGAACACTGGCCCCAGATGCTGATGCCACATAGCTTCTCGTAGATGAAGCCCAGGGTCTGCACATGGGCTTCCTGAAAGGGCCAAACGATCCTTGACCAATGGTCCCTAAACACGTTTTCAGGTCTGGGCAGGTTCAGTAGAGAGACCACTGCTGCCCACCACACTGGTGCCCAGCCACGGTCTCCTCACACTTGAATAGCTTAACTTTTTGGATATAAAATAAGATTCCCTGATGTATACGTATTGAATATTATATCACAGGTTTGGGATCAAGATTTTTTTTAACTGCAGTGAAATATATATAACATAAAATTTACCATTTGACCATTTTTATGTGTATAGTTCAGTGGCATTAAATACATTCACATTGCTGCGCAACCATCCCCACCATCCACCTCCAGAACTTCTTCCATGTTGTAAAACAAACTCTATACTCGTTAAACGATAATTTCCCATTTCCTTCTCCCCCCAGCCCCTGGCAACCACCGTTGTCCTTTTTGTCTCTATGAACTTGACTACTCCAAGCACCTCATCTAAGTAGAATCATACAGCATTTGTCCTTTTGTGACTGGCTTATGTCATTTAGCATCATGTGCTCAAGGCTCATCCATGTCACAGAATTTCCTTTATTTTTAAGTCTGAATAACATTCCATTGCAGGTACAGACCATATTCTGCTTATACACGCGTCTGCTGACAGACACTTGGGTTGCTTCTTCCTTTTGCCTATTGTGAATAATGCTCTATGAACACGTACAAATATGTTTGTGTCCCTTCTTTCAGTGCTTTGGGACATATACGCGAAGGGGTCAAGGTATTTTCGAGTCTTGACTCTTAGCTGTTTCTCCTAGATTCGGGTCATTAACAGAATGATCAGAATGTCCCCACGGTCTTTACTTACATCATTGCTAAAAATGTTGACCACAACGAGGACATCGAAAAGCCCAGAGGACACAGCTACCTCGTCTGGGAATGCCGAAGAACTAGTTATTAACACTCTCAGGGGACAGTCCTCCAACCAGCGCTGAACCCATGAGCCTGCAGTTATCCAGCCCTCCTTTCTTAAGGCACCATAGGAGACTGTCGGCTAAGTCCTTGTGGAACTCCAGATACGCCAAATCCAAGGCATTCCCTTGAACCAAGCTCTAGAACCTTATCAAAAAAAGATAAATTGGCATAATTTGTCCCTAGTGGACCCAAGGTAACCCAACAAGAGCACTTCTTTATTTCCTAAGCCCTAACAATCTAGCTAATAAATTACTCATCTGAGCTCGCCTCTCCTATAAGGCATGATGCCTTTTAATCGTCATTCAAGAGGTTTTTACTGGCTCCACTTTATCTCTATAAACTTTGTGACAGACTTTGTAATAGACCCAGGAGCACCTCAAACAACAAACTATCCGAGGTTGCCTTGTATTGTTGGTCATCTTTTCTGGGTTTGCACACGGGCTCTCCACAGCTCCAGGGAAGGCTCCTTGAGGGCAGGGGCTGTGCCTCCGGCTTTCACACCGCCCCTCTTTATGGCTAATAAAATGCTGTATGTTTAGTTGATGCTCAATAAGTATTTCTTGGTCAGTTGGGAAACAACCTGTGCTCAGAGAAAAGGAGAAGAGGGGTCTTCATCAATCAGTCAAGAAATACCGATTGAAATCTCTGATTCCTAGCAGTTGACAAGCCATCAGGAACCCTTATAAGGAAGAAAGGGAGAGTCGAGGTTGGGGGTAGAGGAAGCAGCCCGCAGGCTCACTGCAGCAGTCCTGGTGCATGCTGGCGAAGACCTAGAACAGGCTGGTAACTGAGGAAGTCAAGAGAGAGAGGGAGGCTTGGAGGCTCTCCAGGGAACTTGATGGCCGATGGCCAGGAGTGGGTGAGACAAAGCCCTGGCCTCAGACTGTCAGGCTTAGTAAAGCACAAATTCTGCAGGCAGACAGGGGTTCACTATTCCCCGCCCATCGCCAGTTTGGGGTGATGATGCAGAGTCCAAACCAGGTCCCCTTTGTGTCCTCAGCCTCCAAAACGCAGCTGCAGCTGGCGGGCAGGACGGCTCTGTTCAGGGCAAAAAGCATGGAAAGGAAAGTCCTAGAGGTGTAGTGAGGCTGGGTGGATGGCATGCCGGGGTTCCCGGGAGGGATGGGCTGACATCAGGGAAGACTCTCTTCTGTCTTTACCTCCTGGAACTCTCACCCCGCACTCCCCTCCCCAGTCTCCCTTCTTGTCCTTCTCTGCCCTTCAGCTCCTGAGCCAGGCTTTACCAGGGCGGGTCGGGGGTAGGGGCAGGGCTGGCATACAGCTGGCACACCCTGTTGGTCTTACAGCAGTTGTTTACAGCTGTGACTGCCCTGATTGGTTGGCACCATGCCATACCTGTCCTTAAATATTTTTAAAGTCTCCCCTGAGTCCAGGGAGTGAGGTGAAGTGGCCTCTGGAGGAGGAAAGAAGTAGACACAGTCCCTCCAAACAGGAAGTGCCTTCCCCACAGAGCAGGGCCTTCACCCTGCTCCGGGGGAGCGCTGCATACTTGCCCTTTTAAGGGCGGCCTGCTTGACAGCTCCTGAGTAAGTTTATGCTCCTGAGGATGCCCTCCTCCCCAGGAACCCCTCTTTAAGTCTGTTCCTTGCACGCCTCCTTGGGGCCCCATCTGAACATCCAAGACTAAAAGCACAGGCCCTCAGCTGGAAAGCATCTAGCCTCACAGTAGAGATCAGAGAACATAGGTCCAAGGAGAAAATGTCTTATCTGAGGTCACACGGCTCTGGGGACAGAGCTGGGACTGAACCCCAGGATTCTAGTGTTCAGGCTGTGGTCTGGTCACCACCTCACCAGAGCTCATCTTCCAACGTCAACACCCCTTTTCCCCACCTTGCCCCAGCCCCCTAGTAGCCTTCTTCCATTGGAGAAGACCAGACTTCACAGCTCAGTTTAGAACTAGGTCCAGGTTCCAAGCTCCCCTCTAGACGGGTAGAGGGTTATAGAGGTTCCAAAGGCTGTCTGCTTCTCCTCCATCAGGAGGAACTGCCTCCATCTCCCACCACCCCAATTTCTCACCCATCCATGCTTGAACCCTTCCTTCACTCCAGCAGAGTCTTTGAAGTCGAAGGGACTGGGATCTGACTCCTGGCTTTGCCTTCCCCTCTGGATGACCCTGAGCATGAGGTCTTAACCACTGAGAACCTCAGGTTCCTCACTCGTGATGCCAAGGTCATAACGGCTTATGTCATTTAGCATCTTCAGAGGGCTTCCGTGACCAGAATAAATGACATTTGTAAGCAAAATGCCGGGAGTGCCCCAGGCACTCACTAAAGAAGGCCAGCACTGCTGCTGAGGCTTCACTATCATGATCACCAGCAAAGTGAGACTTGCCCTGCCCAGAGCCTGCAACCATGAGCCAGCCTGTCTCCAGGTACAGATGGGGCCAGCAACGCCTGGAGTTGTAGGAACCTGTCCAGCCAGATTTAAGAAGCCACCCATCTTTGCCATCAGTAACTGAGAAATCTGGACCAGAGGAGCTTTTCCTTAGGCTCTGAGCTACCTCTAGTTGGAAAGGTGAACCCTTGTCACTGACTGTGGGTAGGGACTGGAGAGGTGGAGGTGGCCAGAACGATTCACTTCTGCAAAATTCCTTTACAAAGAGGAACAATGGAGGTTCCCCTGTCAGAAGAGAACTGAGAAGCAATAAGGACAGAACAAAACCCAGAGGACTTGAACTTGGGCCTGAGAAATGTAACCTGACCCCTCCCCACCCCCTATCATTTTCTCCCTGGAAACTCCCCCAATACCAACAGCTCCATGCCCTCCATTTCCTGTCTCCCTGCCCCCACCCCTTCTCACTGTGGGGACAATGTCTTCCAGGACTGTCGATCCCTAAACACAGACTAACTGGCCCACGACACCAAACCATCAGGTCAGCATCAAATAGCCCTCCTGTAACTCTCTCGGGGTCTCCTCCAGTCCCCTGGCTCTGGCCAGACTTTACCTCCTCACCGTGGCATCCTTCCACATCGTGGAGAAAACAGGTCTCTCCAACTCAGGAGGCCCGGGATAGTCACGAGGCAGCTTGTGGGTCAGGGGCCACAAGGCCATCCTCTCCGGGCCTCACTTTCCCCTCTGTGCTACGTCAGGGTTCGACTGAAGACCTCCAAGGGCCCCACCATCCGTCCGCGTTGCCTGCTCCATCTCCTTCCCGTAGACTTCCCCAGGGGCTCTCGTCAGCCGCCACTGAGTACTCCTCCCACATTCCACCCAAGCCAGGAAGTACTTCCCACTCTTGAGTTCAAAACTCCCATCTGGTCTGTAATAATGAAAATCCTAACCCTTAACCCCAAACCCTGGCCCCCATCTCCTCTACACACCTGTTTTCACATGAATTAGAACTTCAAAAGCCCCATATCATTAGTGCTAACTCCTAAGCCTTAAGTAAAATTATCACCTGAGACACTGGTGTTTGCCAGACACTGGGCTATATCTACATCTTATCACCATAACAACTCTGAGATGGATGGCAACATTTTAAAAAAAACTATTTAACTTATTTAAAAATAGTTAAAAATATTTAACTTATTAAAAAAAAAACCCTAGTGGTTCAGAGAAGTTAAGTAACTTGCCTAAAGACACACAGCTAGTGATGGCCTAGCTAGGATTTAAACACATGTTTGACTCTAAAGCTATAAACCACAAAGCTATAGGGCACATGTCCAAGGCATACCTGATCTGAGACCAGCTCAGAGCTTTCTCAAGTGTTCTTTACATCCAGACTCAATAATTCGTGATGGAGCACTTCCTATGACCTGAGCCAGGTGTTCTCATAGCTCTGTGAGCTCATTTCTGCATCACGGTGACCTTGTGAGGATAATTCCCCTTGCAGATGATGAGACTGAGGCTGAAGCAGCTGTTACATGTCTTGTCAACAACACCCAGCTAAGAGACACAGCTGGAACCACAACTAAGTATCCTGACTCCACATTCAGTGCTCTCATCACAGAACCAAAGTTAACTCATCAACGCTTCCTGTAGCTCTTGAGACCAAGGCCATGACTTTGGGACGTTCAAGTTGCCTTCTCCTATCCCCTTTCTTGAGCTCCATACGCGAGGGTTACAGGGCAAGGACGTATTATGTGCTACTGCATGTCTCCCTGGCCACTTTCCAAGTGCCAGCGAGGAGCCAGGCACTGTGCTGACAACTGTGTGCTTTATTTCATTTACTGTCCCCAACCCTCCAACAGCACGACTATCCCTTCTTACCGATGATGGCTTTCAGATGCCCCAAGGTCAGGCAACTTGCCCAACAACCACATCTTCTGGGTGAAGGGACTGTGTTTTGGGGACCATGATGTCACCCTTGACCACACATGCTTTTAATTGGCTTCCAGTGTCCAGCACACTGGACACTGACCTGGGTGGTGGGGACATAGGAATAAACAAAGTATGGTCCCTTTCCTCCAGCAGGTTCCCTTCTAATGGGGGAGCCAGAGGAGTCAAGGCAGTGACAGTACAGAAAGGTGGGGTGAGAGGGACTGAGAAAGGGGACCTGGTCCAGCCTGGACGGGTGAAGAGGAAGTCAGGGAAGGCTTCCAGGAGAAGGTGACACTAAGCTAGTCTTGAAAGAGATGAGAGAATTAAGGAAGGGTGTAAGAGGTGGGGAAAGGCATTGCAGGCAAGGGGACAGAATTTGCAAAAGTACAGAAGGAAAAACAGCAGGGAATGCATGAGGCCAGGGTCCTGACCAGCGGCCTGTTAATCTGTGGCTAAACTAAGAGGCAAAAGGAATCGACAGGGTATCCAAGTATCTTGATCTGACGGCAGGGCCCAGGCCTCCTGGGGAGACGGCTTCTTTGCCCTCCTCTCCCCACCAGGTCCCCCGGGGGCCCTAATCTGGGAATGCAGCCCGGATCTCCTGCTTGAAACGTCAGGAATGTAAACAATGTCCTGTTCCCCAGGCAGGAGATTCCTCCTGCCTACATCCTGACCCTCACAGCCCCTGAGCGTCACCTGGGAAATGGCTCCAGGCCCAGCTGACCTACGACCTGACTCCCCAAGGAAGACCCTAGGCCTTTTCATCCCAGGCAACACTTCCAAACCTTCAGCCCCGCCATCTCCCCACTGCCCACCTACCCCAGGCCTGCTCCCACTTCAAGCCTCTGACCACCCCCACATGCTCCGTGGAGAGCAAATAGGCGTGGGGCCCCTCACAACGCTCTGCAGGCTGCTTTCACCCTGGAGCTGCCTGAATTGCCAATATCCAGTTCTACCCCACAAACTTGCCTGGGTTCAGTTCCATTGCCATCAACTCTGTGTGACTTCAGACAAGTTACGCAGGCTTTCTGAGCCTGAGTTTTCTCATCTGTAAAATGAGGAGATAATAAAAGTACATACTTCACAGGGCTGTCATGAGGATTAAATGAGTTAATATTTGTAAAGTACCTCACACGGTGCCCAGTAATAAAGCACTATGACTATCTATACAGATCAGCCACTGTTACAATTACGAAGAAACCTAAATATTGACTGTATGTATTACAGAAAGTTCTCTCTATGTGATTGACTCATACATATTATTACAAGGGTTGGCAAATATCACAGGGTCAAACTCAGACTGCGTTTGTAACTAACGTCTGATTAGAACACAGCTACACCCATTCACTGTCTCTGGCTGCTTCTCGCAACACAGAACCCGGCGGTCCACAAAGCCAAAAATATTTCCTGCCTGGCCATTTAGAGTTTGCTGATTGATGTTTTATTAGGTTGAATCATATATAGCTGACAGTGTTCAATTATTTTTAACCTATAAAATTGTAAATTTCCTATGGTTCGACTTAGTATAGCATACTGGCTCATCGTGTGTCCTGTCTTACCCATGAAAACAGAGTTACAAGGATCATTTTTTGAGCATCTACCATGTTCAAAGCTTATCCTGAGCTTTCACCACACTCTTGCAGGGTAAATATGATCACTGCCTGCCCCTTCTTTACCGATGGGGAGATATGAGGCTCAGAAAGATGCAAAGTGTGAGCATAGGACTTAAACCAGGTCTCCAGGCTCCGTATCAACCATCTACATCTACGCACTGGGTGTAAGAAGTTGCTGGGAGTGAGATCTGTCTCTGATTAGGACAAAACATGGACAGCACGAAGCCCTCCTCTCTCCCCACTTCTCTGCGGGTCCTTCTCCCAGGCAGCACTCGGGCTATGTGGTCATCGGAGCCCAGGGCTGACTTCCCTGTCGGCCTCAGGACAGTACTCAGAACAATCTGACTTGTATTGTGAGCCTCGGGCAGGGCTGGGGAGGGGGTGGGGAGCACTTTCAAAAATAAGCAAGCTCTCTTTCCAGGACTGAGGGAGCTATTTTTAGCAGCCGCCTAAATTATGGTTTCCCCCTCTGCTCTGGGAAAGGCAAGAAGCAAAAGTAAACTCTCTTGCAGCCCCAGAGTCCCCTCCGTGCAGGCTGCTGGGTGGGAGACTAAGAGAGCAGGGGGAGAAAGGGAAGGAGAGAAAGGAGCGTCTTGCTGGGAAAGTGAAACTGAGAAATTCCCCAAAATGACTTGGGGGTGAGCGTGGAAGTTGTGGATTTTCCAGTTGGTTTTCACATTTTGAGAAATGATGAAGAGAATATAGGTTTCTTTGTCTCACCAGAACAGAAAACAAGCAGATACTAGCTCTCCAAAGCCTCGCTCAAGCATGCGTTCACTCATTCATTCATCCACTCATGCATTCATTCATCCATTCACCCCCTGACTGTCATGTAGAATGCAATTTTCTGGGTGCTTTAGATGAACCAGACATCAAATCCTCTCCTCACTGGGTTTATAGGGTTGCTGGGAGGCACATGTATCAACCACCAGGAAGCGAGGGAGGGAGGGAGGTGCAGCTCCAGGCCCTGGGACTGCAGGGAGGAAGGGTGGCTTCTGGCTAGGGTGATCTGGGACAGTCACCAGAGGAAGTGGCACGGAAGCTGGGTCTTGGAGGAGAGGTTGCCATGTGCCAGTGGGAGGGTCCAAGAAACCCATTCACAACAGAGACATGCCAGAGTGAGCACCTGGCATCAAGGTGAGGAAGGGGCTAAGGGAAGTTGTTTATGCCCAGGCTGGGATGCAGGGCACAAGGAGGTGCAGCAGGACACAAGATGGGGACCTGCTAGCCAGGCCCTGAATGGCAGGCCGAGGAGGCGGTGGCAGCAGCCCAAGGATGGGCCGTTGGGTGGTTTATTGGCTGATTAGTTGGTGGCTTATAGTAAAGGACAGAGTTTGCGACGTCTGATCCCAGCTGGGATTTGGACGGGCAATTAGGTTGGCACTGTATGGGGTGGATTTCAGGACAGATAGAAGGGGAGAGTCTGGAAGCAGCTCTGTCTGAGCAAGAGTTAATGAGGCCTTGAACTGCTGAGAAGAGAAGGGGACAGGGACAGATGCCGGGGATGTCACAGAGGGGTGTGCGTGCCCACACGTGCGTGAGCGGATGGGGAGCTTTGGCAAGACGCGGCCTCGGCACGGAAAGCAAGGACTCAGGCAGAGCCTGAGAGGGAGCGGTGGGGGCTCTCTGGGCAACAGCTGTGAAGTCAAAGAGAAGAAGGAATTTTAACACCCAAGTCTCTGCCACCCATCAGAGCCAGAGGTCTGGGGCCCCTGGCCAAAGGGAAACCACTCTGCCCGTGACAACCCCTCCTGCTTCCGGGAAGCCCCAACCCCAGGCCACACAGACAGGGCTGTCTTTACTGAGGGGATGCAGTAAAGACAGCACCCGCCTCTTCCTGGGCACTCCTGCCAGGTCTCCCACCAGAGCGCCCCAGCACGCTGAGAACTCACACCATTCTAGGCAGCCCTGGGCTGGGAGAAGCTCCCTGCTGACCATGCCTCCTGCAGTCCCAGGACAAAGGCATTCTGTCACTCATGAAGGTGGAACCTTGAGGTCCTGTCAAGGCAAGCAGGCCCTGGGACCCCACTGGACTTGGGCACCTGGTCACACACTAAATGCTGGGCTGAGTCTTCCCCAGAAACGGTGCCCTCCTTACAGCTCTGTTAGTCCCTCTAGGTGTCCAGCAATCACACCAGAAAAGGCCCTGTGTGTGCCTCTGGGCCTGACTTGACATAAATCCTGGACTATAGCCACATTCCATCTCTCCAGGGTGGGCAGAGTGGGAGAGGACAGGGACTGGGGGAGGGGGGACAGTGGAATCCTGGAGAGCAAGTGATTGAAAAGGCTGACCCAGGGTGACCCTCACCTGCCCCTCACTCTTGTCCCTACAATTCCATCTGTTCACTCATTCATTCTAACAAATATTTGTGAAGCC